GGGAGCCGGTGCCGGGGGGCCGGGGCAGCCAGCGGGGACCGACCCCACGTCCCCCTGTGATGGCAGGGGCAGGCTGGGACCCAGCTGGGGAGGAGGGAACCCACGTCTGGAGGCAGCTGGAGGCAGAGCGTGGGCACGTGCGCGCAGCCCCGGGACAGCCTTACTCAGCTTCATCTTAACCAAATGACGATGGATGTGACTGTTTATTCCGAGTCCCACACAGCGCTGCCCTCTGCGCCTGAATGAAGGCGAACGGCCGCTTCTTGCTTTGCTTTTGCCCCAGCTGTGTCGGCGTGGGGGACGGGAGGGTCTGCAGGGGTGTGAAGTGGCTTTTTGCTGGCTTTGCAGGCTGGTTTACGGACAATTAGGGGCCACAGGGTGAGGAACACCCCTTCTAGGACACAACTTCCCATCTCCCTCCTGCTCCATCTCCCCCACCTTCATGCCACCCCCCTCTCCGTATTAAATCCCTTCTCCAGGCTGGTTTCCCCCATCTCAGGTGGTTTTCTCCCTCCCTTCTTCTTAGGCAGAGACCTGCCGAGAGCAGCCTCAGGCGTATCCCTCTCCCCAGGGACCAACGGGGACACTGTCTCACCGACGGGGATGCCATCTCACCGTTGGAGCAGCCCCGGGGCCGCGCTCCCCGGGCTGGCGCTCGCTGCAGGTCAGCCTTGAGCCGGGGCCGGGCACCGCCGCGTTCCTTCTGCAGCGTGTCGAGGACGTCGCTGACAGAGCTCACCAGCCGAGCCATGTTGGTCTGGCTCTCCGAGAGCAGCTGTGGGCAGGGGACGCATGGAGGGGACAAGGTTAAACGTGGTTAAACCCCTTCCACCCCCCACCCCCTTGACCCCCATGAGGATGCTCTGCCTGTTCCCATGGCTCCCCAGGTGTCTGCAGGGAGCAACCCTGGGTACGGGCTGGCGGGGACCAGGTGGGGACATAAAAGCCACAGCAGATCCCATATGGCATCTCTGGTGCTTTTTGTCCGGGGGTCGGGGTCCAGATAGCACCTATTGAGAAATCCCCGAACTTGGGTGGTGCATCGGCGCCGCCACCCCGTGGGATAAAGAGCATCTCTGGGCAAGGGACGGGATCGCGGAGGCGGCAGGAATAGCTGTGTCCTGAGAGAGCCACCGGCTCTCCGCTGTCCCCTGAGGTGACCCAGGCCAGGCGAGTGACATGGGGTGGCCGCGGCAGAGCAGCAGGATGGGGAGCGGAGCGAAGCAGCGGGGATCGAGCAGCTCTGGCCGGAGGGAGATGAGCACCAGGAGGGCTGGGCACGGAGCCGAGCATCCCGCTGTGCCCTGGATCTCGCTACAACGCCCGGCAGCCCCCCGGTGTACCCAGGTAAGCATTTCAACACAGCTCATCGGCTGGGAAATTTTGGGGACTGTAAATACAGGGGGCTGACTGCTGCACGAACTGCCCTTGGGATGGTCCTGTGCTGTGTTCGGCTCTGCTCGGAGCCCCCAAACTGGACCTGGAGCTGGGAAATCCGCAACGAGGGAGGCTGCACACCAGGCTCGCTGGCACCGGGGCGGTTTGGCAGCGAGACGCAGATGGCTGATGAGCTGGAGCTGAAGTTGTGCTTCCTAACTTGCAATTCCCAAGCTCCTGCCTTTAAACCTCAGCTCCTTCTGCTGGAGGTCTCCCCTGGACACCACGGGGGCTGCAAGTGGTCATATGCCCTCGGGGACATATTGGGTCTGTCCCCAAGGAACACCGTGCAGCGCCGCCAGCCCCGGCTCACCTGGATGAGCCTGCCCTGCTCTCCCTGCAGGGCGCTGAGCTCCTGCCCCATGGCGCTGTGTCCCTTCTTGAGGCCATCGCAGTCGGCACGCAGCTGCACGGCGTGCGTCAGCAGCTTGGCCACCTCGTCCGCCACCGTGACCAGCAGGGCTTTCTGCTGGCTCTTGGTGGCCTTGGCCTCGGCGTCGTGGTCAGTGATGGCACGCAGCAGGGAGGTCTGCAGCCCCTCCAGGCGCCCGAAGGTGCCCGTCGCATCGGGGCAGTTGGGGTCGATGAAGATGTTGATGCGGGAGCTGTCGGCTTTCTCGATGGTGACCAGCGCGTTGGCTTCCTCGGGGTTGGTGCTGATGACTGGGGGCGACTCGGTGACGGGCGTGTGGTAGTGGTTCATGAAGAGGATGGCCCCCGTAACTGTCACCGCCAGGAGGACGGCCACCGAGAGCAGGACGGTGCACAAGATGTACCCGCAGCTCATCCTCTGCAGACAGAGAGATGGACACCATCGGGACCCATCTGGACAGACCCATCCCGCTCCCCTTTACCCGAGAGGTGGGTTCAAACCCTCACGAGCTTTGGGAGGGCCCAGCAACGAGGGAGGCGATGTCGGACATGGGGGTGGTGGCAGAGGAGGGGATGCGGGGACCCCGGGGAGCTCTGCGGTTCTGCCAGGGACGCAGAGGCCACGGGCGAGCGCTCGGAGAGCAAAGCAGCTAAACCCGCCTGGGAGCCGGAGGTATGAAATAATAAAGAGAGCGAACGCGCGGCGGCCGCCTGCTCCCGCTGGCATGTTTTATTTAAGGCGGTGATACTCAGCCGGAGCAGCCCCAGCTCCCTGGGAAGCGCGTGCAGGGCTCCCTGCTGCCCTGGGCACAAATATGGGGAGAAAAGGGGGGAAAAAAGGGACATCCCCTGTGTCCCCCAGAGCTGGGACTGTGGGGAAAGCAGGGAGGCGAGGGAAGGCAGGGGCTGTCCCCAGCAGCGAGGGGAGGCTGTGGGGCCACGTCGCCCTGAGCATCGCGGGGGACCTGCTCTGCACGGGGCATCTCCCAGCTGCGGGGGGCCATGTGTCCCCATCCCCCTTGCGCCCTCGCTGCCTGCCGGAGGGGAGCAGAGCGGCTCCCAAAGCCCTCGGACCTGTCCCAGAGCCTCCCGGTGAGGGGGAGTTGCCGTGAGGAAAATTTTCGGACCCCCTGAGCCCCTCCAGCGGCTCCGCCACGGCAGGGACCCGTCGGCTCAGCCGGCGGGAGCTGCTCCGTGCGTACCAAAAGCCTTTTCTCCTTGCAAAGCATGAAGTGCCAACGCCGTCAGCGTGGACGGAGCAAGCTGCCACCCAGCCCCATCCACCCCCCCGTCCCCCCCTGCCGCCACCTCCCCTTCTCATTACACCTGCAGGACAGAGGCTGTGATTTTCCCCTGACCCCGGCCACGGCTGTCACAAGGAATTGCAGGGCTGCCGGAAAACTGCAGATTCGGAGAGACAAAGACTACTTTCCCCAGAAACGAGGGGAAAATTGCTGCATCTGCAAAGATTTCCCAGGCCCTGTCCCCTCCTGTGCACATCTATCTGGAGTGACACCTTCCTTCAAGCACCCTTCATTTCATTCACGCTCCCGCAACCATTTGCATTAAGGTGACCCCAGCTGCGGCAGGGCGGGCCGGCCAGGGGCCAGGGGACCACGGATGCCCCGTTAGCCACAGGGGATGCTCCGGGTTTCTTCTCCAGCCCGCGGAGTGAGGCTGGAGATGCAAACAGCGCTGGGCTGAACAGGAATCCTCCCTGTGGGGACCTCCGTAATGAGGTAGCTCCAGGCTCAGCCCCTCAGTGTGCATTAAAAGGAGACGTCAAAGGCAATACGGGGAGTTTTCGGCAAGCAGAGGGTGGAGGAGTTTGTCCTGCGTTTGTAGACATGGAGCCCCAGCTCGGGGGCACGAGGGGCACCCGGGAGCAGCAGGACAGTGGCAGAGGGAGGTGGGAGATGCCCATCGCTGACACCCTCATGTGGACACCTGGGACCTGGGCTCGACCCAGCACCCTGCGAGTGGAGAAGTGACAGGAGGGATGGCTGCTGACTGGAGGCCGGTGTCAAGTGGTTTGGGATCTGCAGGGTGAGCAGGGACCGTGTCCCCGTGCCTGTCCTGGCTATCGCAGCACCTTCAGCTCCCCAGCTCCGCGCCCT